TGTATGAAATATGAATCGTTTTATACTTTGCCGGCTAGTTTTACGCATTATATATAATGCCTAAGCATTCTATAGAATACCGGATTTCAAACTTTGCCGGTAACATTTATACTGCATTTTAATTTTGGGGGGCTGCCCAAGAAAGTGGGGCCCCTAAGCTATAGCTTGTGTAGCTTATACGTAAATCCTGCACCGTTTTTATTATAGGAATAAGCGTTTTGCGATGTATGAGATTGGCACTGACAAGACCTGACGATATCAACTACGTCAGCTATGGATTGTTTGTGGCCAAGAACGATAACTTTTTAAATATAAGCAGATAATACGGAATGATTATGATATTTGTCCTCTTGGTGGTTTATGGAATATTTCTCTAGATTTTCTTCCGTTGCTAATAGGCCTGTACACTAATTGCCTTGTTTGATTGTTCTGCATATCTCCTGGCATGGAGGTAAGAATAAAAGGAGGCGCCAACCTACGACTAACGCAGTGCTTCCAAGCTTTGGTCTCCAGGAGCGGGAGCATTTTGTTTATACCCAGATTATCCTTGACAGCGCTTTGATAGTATTTCCACATATGGACAGTTCCACACAAATCGAAAAGACGGGGACACTTCCGCATATGAGAAACATTCATTGTTGGATGGATAATAGCAGTTCGTATAGTTTAGTAGTATTTACGCAAAAATCACATCTTCGTTATTTTTCGATAATCTGCAAAAGCGATTTTGATTATGAATTTGTTTTATAAAATGTTAAGTTACAGGACTACAAAAATATAGATTTTAGTAAAAATGTTATGCGCAAAGACTGAAAAATAACTTAAAAGTACCTTTAAAATGTCGAAATATCGCAAAATAACACACTTTATACCTCAATTTCCTTATAATTAACTATTTCCTTATAAACATAAAAATTTGTTCTTTCGATACCCTTGATAAAGTAATCACTACTTTTATTTTATGTTCCAAGTATCAAAATGTTAAAGTACACCTTTGTCATCCACAAAATATTGTAACATGTACTTTTTAAAAATTTTTAGGTAGGAGGATTATAATTTTATTTTTATATAATTGAAAAATAATCACTTTGGGTTTACATATCTTAACTGAGAAATGAAATTACTACGAAATCATGTAATCCTCGTCAAAATTTTAAAATATATGGACAAATATGCTAATAAGTTAACTTTCCTTTCATTTGTAACCACACATTTGTGTTAAATTTATATACAGATACATTTGCCAATTCGATGGAAATATCATGTGAGGTCAAGATGATGTGACCATGTGAATGCGCCACATCAAATCAAGACAGCACGAATGTATGTAATTTTCATTCATTTATGTTTATGCACATTTCTAAAGTAAAAAATTCCTGATGTATGCTAAATTTTTGTAAATAAAATCAAAAGTACCTATAGAAGTAGAATTTTGTGGATGAGCTTCGTGTTTACTGTTGGTCATTTAGAATTCTTGAATTGTCGCTTATCATCGCTCACTATGTGATACTTCTTTGCTTGCATTTCATTTTTCAATTCAACTCCGCAACAATTTTTTAAATAATTGAAAAGGGAAATATATCTCTTCTTACTCATTTTAAAATTAATGTATTGATCGAGGTTTTCTGACTTCGTCAGTGTGTCTGGATTGTTCGCTTATAAAATTAATAATTATTGATTAATTTAGAATTATGTTACTCTTCACTAACGCTATAAGTTAAGAATAGAACGAGTCTGGATTTTAAGTCTAAAAATGTCTGAAGTGAACACCATATGACTTCCTTTTAAAATCTATTTTAAGATCTAAGTATTTCCTTTTAAGATGTATTATACACATTTTTGGCGTCATTTCATTTAAACTAATTTCATCGAATTAATAAAACTCGAATAACCAATCTCTCGAAGCAAGTTGAAAATGACATTAAAAATTGCAAATTTTGAAATTATAAATCTTGGTCAATTTTCATTATACGAGAGTCAAACTTCTTATATTTTTTACTATTTTTCATAAGAAGTATTAAAACGTTCCACAAAATAAGTATAGGAGCCTGAAGACCGCATTAAATGATAGATTATATTGGTCAAGGATTATTATTATGATTATTATTTTGGATATGACATTGCCAAAACATGAATATTTTCGCCATCTAAAACACACTTCTTTAAGAATGTGGGTGTATACGTTAAGTGTAATGAAGCAGACACTCATTGTAATGAAGCAAACTTAGATATAATAAAATTGTAGAAACGGCTGATGACGCAGAAGAAGTATGGCATTTCATCATTATAATGAAGCGATAAACTTAGAAGTAATAATAATGCAGAAACATTTGTGGGAACTCGTTCCCTTTTCTCCCAACAGATGGCAGCACTATCCGGAACTTCATTTTTCGCCATCGCGAAATGTATTACACGATTAGGGAACGTTCTGTTTGAACAATGCTATGAAACCAGCATGTCATCTAGTTACTATAACTACAAAAGCAGTAATTAACAATTGAAATTATATAGTTGTTAGTGAATTGTGCTTTATGGCCTCACGCAACCGATCTGATTATGAAAATATGCTGAACCGCCATTTCCAAAAAGTTATTACACAGAATATTGATCCATGATGAATAGGAAACTGGACATCCGAGAATAAATATTCATCTTTATTTTAAAAAACATGTTGTGTGCCACAAACAAATTGGCACACCACTCGTTCCTGTTTCAAAACGTTTACATTTGTAGAAGAAAGCAGCAGTTGAGCTAGGCCGAAGCTGTAGATAGCAAGTAACTTCTGTTCAGGATGAAATCTTAATTCAAGACGCATTGGTTTCGGTTCTCAATGCATTTGATTGGATAATTAATACTTCTGTAAAACTATTATTGGCTGTTTGATGATTTTAGTTCCATTTACGTCACCAACATTATGTAAGCGTCACATGACATAGACTAGTCTCGAAACGACGCAGTGCATAATTATTTTTAGAATAGAGAGGGGGAATAAAGAAATTAAATTTAAGCATTGGGGAGGGGGCTATTACTAATTTAAATTATAATTTATATTTACATGTTTTTATCTTATGTATTCCCCCCTTCAAGGGAAAAAAAAAAAAAGCTTAGCGACAGCCTTCTCTGTCGCAATCTCTGTAGCAATCTCTGTAGCTTCTCTGTAGCAAATGAAGAGAAAGGTAAATCGTAAAAGTATAAATTGCAGTCTGACCTGAGGTTTCGCACTATGTGTATTACTCTTTTTATCCTCACTTTAAAGATTATTGAAGCTGTGACAGCTCACGCGTGTTGTTCCCCTAAGTATACTCCTAGTCCCTAAATTTAAATTATGTTTTTTAAATTAGGAGAGTCAGCTGTAGTCATAAACCGACTGTGCAGCAGTATTTCTTTCACCAGTCCCATTTCTCTGACCACAGTTTCACCATTTTTCGTCACTCTGCAGCATGTTACGTTATTCTTTCCCTGCAATTTCTCTGCATTGCGAAATCTTTAGCCCAATCTCTGCTTAACACATAGAATTCAAACTATAAATACGAGCGCAATTAGTACGCATTACTTTTGTAGTCACGCCCCTTTGCATCTACCATCCTGTCATACGGGACCAACATTTTGCATTTCGTTACCTGCATCGCTCCGTGAACCAACAAAGTTTTGGTAGCCAGAAGACAACCTACACACTGCAGGTTACTCGCAACCTGGTGTCAGTAATTCGTCACTTAATCTATTAACATCAGAAATTTTCTTTTAAACTGATATTTTATTTTTAGTTACGTACAAATGCAAACGTTTCACTTCACAGTATATGTATGGTTCCTGAATATGATCTTGAACTCTGAAATCATATTTTGTGTTGTATGGGAGGTCAAACACTTCGTATTTTAAATATTTGCTATATTGAGTATAAAGTTCTCCTAAATATAAGTGTAGGGATCGGAGCATCACATAAAAAAATTATATTCCTTAATTTTTACAAAACTGCTTTGTTTTAAATGCCAAAACAGGAGTATTTGTGTCATTTGAAACATTTCTGAAATTAAAACTATACATGTGACCATCGATTCTGAAAGAAATATTTGTAGATACGGTTCTTTGAGTCTTCATGTTCAGATATTGTTCAAAATATCATATTTCCCGGTGTAGGAGCACCTTTTGTTAAAAAAATTCGCGTCTGAAAGCTGGGTGCTTCTTACACAACGGTGGCGCCGACGCCAACGAATATGCAGTGTCACTCACCCGTTTCTTTAAAAAACCGAAATGCCTGAAATTATATCTGAGATTTGCAACAACATCTTCTACCCACGGTTCATTGGCATTAATGAACGAAGAGGTCTGAAGGTTTAAGGTGATATTGTTTTTATTGATAAAGAACCATAAAAGAATCCTTTTAGAAAAATATTGTCTACAATAAAGATGAACTGATATAATGCATTTAGGGAAACTGTACTTTAGTCCCGTATACAAAATTTCAATGTTCTATGGGTAAATCCTTTTTGAATTATGAGAGATACATACGTAGATACGTTGCTACAGAAGGCAAGACAAAATCCATTTCGAAACCGTTTCGGAATAAAGAGTCCTTTATTCTGTCCTAGTATTACGTATAGATGTCACGCAAAAAAAATAGTAAAAAGGAATTCGGGAACTCTCAAAATGGATTTTCCATTGAAATCTGAAACCCGAAATTTTTGCCTATTACGATTCGCAAGGAGAGCTGGAGTAAGATGCATAGTTCAGTTATACACTGTTTTCGGGAAAGTTTAAAATTATGAAAGAACAGGCCTCAATTTTAAGCTTTATCATAAACTCGAAATTTCTTTTTCGTATTTCGTTCAGCATGTCATTTAGATTTACCTAGATGGATATTAAGCAACAATTTTCAATATGTATTCCTTTGCTTTTATTTCTAAGTTCTCTTACCCCAGTCATGACGTCACTGACAAAGTTACGCAACCCTGAAAAGATCTGCCAAGACATTTTGAGGTAAGGGAGTTAGAAGAAGAAAAATTCTCTGGATTCTGCTCTCCTCCTCACAGTTCCTTTCCATCCTGAACTTCATCGCGGTCGCCTTTTGTGTCTGGAAATGAACGTGATGCAAACGACCATCCCAATCACCAGGACCCAGGTCGTGACTCAGAGGAAAGCATGTTGTGCTTTGTACACCGATTTTCTAACTACGCAACCGGGATTATGCAAATTAGGTGAACTGGTGAGTGGGATTTGTTACATTACAAATATAATAACTTTGGAAAGCAATATTTTCCGATATTTTTTTATGTTTGCATAAAACCTCATAAGGTTTAAACTGGAAATGCAGAAAATTATAGTAATAAAAACGCTGGGCAATCAGTATTATGCAATTTTAATAAAAAAGTAAACTATCCAATAAATATAATAAATCGAAATAGCATCGTTGCACGAAATGCTGAATAAGCGAAAGCAGCGCACGAGAAACTGAAATTAATAAAGAACTGAAATGAACTAAAACTGAAATTAAAAGTTAAATTTAAAAAACAGATTTAATAAAATCATTTTTCTCCTAAGAGTAATTTTAAAATAAATGAATCGTTCATAAAGATGAGACGTAACTGTTACCAAGAGCTATTTTAATTAAAAAATACAGCAAGGTCTTCAGAAATATTTTATAACGTATTCGATATGTAATTCAATATTAAACAAACCACAGCTAGACATCAATAATTAAGAGAATCATATCATACTAGCCGACATTTTCTGCCTTAAATTTTCTAAAAGCCATTATCCGTTTTTATAGGTGAAGCCTAGGATCTAAAAAATGCAGCAGATAGCTTCCCATTATTTTCTTAATTCTTGCATTAAAACTGTTTATTTGCTTATTTTTTAATGTCGGGGTATACACATAGAAAAACAATTTAATTATCTTTCTTCTAAAAAAAAAAAAAAAAAAAAAAAAATCAGTCATACCAAACTGTGATGCGCGAAGCTTGCATTTTTGTATGCAAACATTTTTCTTCTTCTAAAACGATTTTAGGTTATCTAATATTTGTAACATTATGTTTTAGTATATCTGTATCATTGTTATTTTTTTTTAATATTATTAATCTGCTAGGATTTCTAAGTAAATTGTCACGGTATAAACATCTGCATTATACGCTACTGAGCAACTAATACACTTACAAAAATCACAGTTTGCACGATTGATTTAAAAAAAAAAAAAATTTGAAAAAAAGAACAAAAGTTCTTTTAAATAAATAAATTCATTAATTTAAAAAAAATAAACAAAAAAATTTTAAAGATTTCAGATTTTAAATTACGTCCAAAGGGGCGTTTTTATAACATTTTGTGTGTTACCTTTATTTATTAAATATCACGTTCTTCGCACTTAAAGCATCAAATTCAGTTCAAGAGCAATATCGCAAAATAATTTTAAAATGAGGATATCTTTAGAATTTTCGATACATAGTTCCTCGAGCTGGAGATAAAATGTTTTTTTTTTTTTTTTTTTTTTTTTTTTTTTTTTTTTATCCGTACTGTGTTGCCATTGCTCGCTTTTTAAATCGTTGAGTTTGTAATTAAAAATTCGTTAAAGTTTTACAAAATATGAAATCGATAAGAAAACAAATTTCAAATTTGCGCTTCCAGAGGCCTATATTCGCAGGAGGATTACGTTATTAAAAACTGGATGGCTCTAGGTACCGTTGTGTTATCACATTGTGAAAAACATACATACATCCATGCAGATTCTTCATTATTTAATTTCTTTGAATGTAACGCAGGGAGGTTAATATTTGGTAGCAACAATTTGAAAAGTGAAACAACGTTTGTAGTGAATGCCAAAACGAAATTAATAGTCCTTCTGGGCAAATTGCCCCTTTGAACTAATAAATGGAACGTCAAGGCAATCTTATATTTCTCTTAAACATTGTATGAAATATTATAACTTACACTGTGGTTAATGTAATATTTGTATTTTTCCAAAACATTTCAAACACTTACTGCAGTAGATAGTATTGAAAATCAAAGACTAAAATTAACTACCAGTTATTTATCTGTCGAACGTTCTTTTTTTTTTTTTTTTTTTTTTTTTTTTTTTTTTTTTTTTTTTTTTTTTTTTCGTAACAGGGAAATTATATGAATGCTTATTGCAATAGATGTGCAACGTTTCGTATACTTGAGTAGCATAAACTAATTCAAAAGTCAAACAACAAAAATCAGCGTTATACCTACAAAATTTTTTTTTCACAATTGTTTGAAACTTTAAACTTCCCGGCATGGTTCCGCTACGTAGACGATACTTTTACCCTGTTTGAAGGTAATAAAGATGATTTAAATAAAGTTCTTTCAACAATGAATTCTATTGATCCTGCTATTCAGTTCACTTTTGAACTTGAGACTTGCAATTCTCTTCCGTTTCTCGACATTCTGGTTCACACGTAACACATCCAGCTTCAGTACTACAGTTTACCGTAAACCTTCATCGGTTTGCCTTCCACCACACTTTAAATCATGTCATCCGACTAAACAAAGTTAGCTTCATTTTTATTCCTATGTTTTCCGTGCTCTTCAAGTTTGCTCCTCCAAACTAGCCCTTGATGAAGAACTAAATTATTTAAAAGCAATAGCTATTGACAGGGGCTTTTCACCCAACATTATTAATCAAGCAGTTAAAAAATTCTCATCTCAACACACTAAAAGCCACACTCTTATTTTAGGAGATTATAAATATTCTGTTGTCATTCCCTTCTTTCCATCAATTAGCTATAAAGTTGCACATATTTTGCAGAAATTTAACTTTCGGGTTGTTTATTCTCCCATCAATAAAATTCCAACTTCTATACTCAAGGACCCCATTCCGGATATGAATTCCTGGGGTATTTATAGGATTTCTTGCCAGTGTGGTTTAATTTACATTGGCCAAACTAAGAGAGCCTTAAAATTTCGCGTCAAAGAACATGAGGCATATGTTAGAAAAAAGGAAACACAGAAGTCTTCTGTTACTCAACATTGCTGGTCCGAAAATCACACTTTCAATTTTTCTGCTGCCAAAATTATTCAAAAAACATCTTCCATTGGAGAACTGGATTTCTAGAGGCATTTCACATTCATAAAAATCTTTCTGTTCTAGTTAACGATCCTAATTCCAATCCAAATTTGCCTTCGGCTTTTAGAGAAATTATGTTTTAGTTCTGGTTTCGCCAACAGATGGCGCCACTTGCTTATTCTTGTTCAGGCTTTCTTATCTTATCTAATCATTATTTATCTTGTTCATTTCTTGTTCATTTGCGGTTTTGCAGCTCAAGATGATGGTTCGGTAAAACCATCGAAACTAGTCCTGTGAAAAAAAAAAAAAATTTGTAGGTATAACGCTGATTTTTTTGTTTGACTTCTGAATTAGTATTTATTCGGCGTGTTATTGTGTCTTAGCATAAACTAACTAGACGTTAAAAAGACTGCGTAGGGAATTATCCCTAAGTACGACAAAGTCCAGAGAAGAGTGTAAAGAGCCTTTTATTAACTCAATTTAAAATTCACAGAGGGCACCGACTCGTGCTTACAAAAGCCAACACCTCTGGCTCAATTCAAAAGTCTAAGGAGTAACTTAAAATTCAGTGGAGTTACGTTAGCCTGGCGGATTTCACACGTGTCGTCGTAAACAAGCTTAATGTCAAGAACTGCCCAAAGCCACAGAAATCGCTAGTATATCAAAGACAGCAGCGTGGCCTTTCAGGCAGGCAGAACACGTTTCAATTCACCATCCAAAACAATCCCTTAAATACTCACTTCTTTTTACCTCATTTGGACGCACGCGCGCTAACTCATTTGCATTCTGGCAAGAAAGCGCGAGTTGAAAGCAAGAACTATACGAAAGGTTGCTTCAGAATAAAATAAACTGTTAAGTAAATATGAAATAGGTTCATTTAAGTTACTCTGCATTATTTTCATAATAAACTGTATTAAATTACATGAATTTTCTGTATTTAACTACTAAATTGGACCTTTTTTTACTTCCTTGTACGAAGTAAAAAGGAAGTATTGTAATCGCGGAATGTTTCAGGCATCATATTTCAACGAAAATATCCATTTTCACCGCTATCGAATGCAATTTAACAATGTTTTTGCGTGCCATCTGTACGTAAGGACAGGATAAAGGTCTCTTTTCCCCTAAAAAAGTTGTAAAACTAATTTAAAATGAATTCTAAAGAGAATTTTTCGTGGTGTCTGTGCGTACATACGTGCGTAAGTATGTATCTTGCATAAAAACGAGTAGCCTCAGAAAGTTGAAATTTTATATGTAGGACTGCCATAACATGTAGATATGCACCCTGTATTTTGGTTGCAATCGGCTGCACCAAACGTATATAAATATTTATATATATATATCCACCCGGCTCGGTGATCTCAGTTTCTTTACTCTTATATGTTTCTAAATTGTGCATTTTTTGCCTTAAAAATGATTGAATTGTGCTGTTCTTATCTTCCGGTTAAGGTTTTTATGCCTTTAGGAAATCTGCTAGCAATATTTCTAGAATTATCAACAATTTAAGTGTGGTTAAGCCTAATTTTTTAATAAAATGGCGGACATGTTTGTTTACACTTGAAACAGCAGTATAGTAGATTTGTTGCCAATCTAGAGAGACTAAGCTTTGCAACAACAAAGATAACGCCTTCATTTATTATTGCGAATTAAATGCTTAATCCTTTCTGGAATTTTTTCGAGGAAATAAGTGTTTAAGATTTACTTCGTAATTTTTAATATAGATATATTTTGAGTTTTTATGTATTTTTGCCTTGTCGGGAAGTGAGAACTGAATTAATTAAATGAGAAATACTGAATTGTCTGTGAAAAAATGTTTCATTTTTGTTTTGTTTGCTTAATTACTTTTATACATCGTTTTAGATTTATTATAGTATTTGAATAGAACATCTGGCAACCATTAGATAATTCTTTAAATGATATACATTTTGTGCATTCTGAGTTATAATATGAATGAAATATAATACTGTTAAGTAAACCTAGTGCCAGAGTGTCGCTATGGTAAACAAATCTAGTGAATTTTTAAGTGTGCATTTATTCTATTGTGGTTTATGCGCTATCGACGAAGTAGATTTAATTCAATCCAGTAAGTTTAAATGAAATGCAAGAAAAAATGGGTATAATTTAATATTCCGTAAAAGGAAGTCATGTGGTGCACACATCAGATTTTTTTAAATGTTGCTATAGTGTGGGTA